GACCAGAGGGTTCTGGGTTGGAGTCCCCGGGGAACCAGGACCAGAGGGTTCTGGGTTCTAGTCCCGGGGGAACCGGGACCAGAGGGTTCTGGGTTCTAGTCCCGGGGGAACCAGGACCAGAGGGTTCTGGGTTGGAGTCCCGGGGGAATCAGGACCAGAGGCTTCTGGGTTGGAGTCCCCGGGGGAACCAGGACCAGAGGGTTCTGGGTTGGAGTCCCGGGAGAACCAGGACCTTTCTGGGTGGTTCTGCATGTTCTCCTGTGTCTGTGGGTTCTCTCCGGGTTCTCCGGCTTCCTCCCACCCTCCAAAAACCTGCATGTTAGGTTGATTGGAGATTGGGGAAATTGGGAAGTGAATGTGAGTGTGTGTGGTTGTTGGTCCTTGTGTGTCTCTGTGCGTCCCTGTGATGGACTGGGGACCGTCCAGGGGGACCCCGCCTCTCCCCATTGGCTACTGGCATAGGCTCCAGTTCCCCCCGCGACCCCATCAGGGAATAAGCGGTATTGATAATGGATGGATGGATGTTCTTATAAAGCAGCATTTTATGTCCATTTTAAGTACTTTTGTTCTTATAAAGCAGCATTTTATGTCCATTTTAAGTATTTTGTTCTTATAAAGCAGCATTTTATGTCCATTTTAATTACTTTTGTTCTTATAAAGCAGCATTAAATGTCCATTTTAAGTACTTTTGTTTATATAAAGCAGCATTTTATGTCCATTTTAAGTACTTTTGTTTATATAAAGCAGCATTTTATGTCCATTTTAAGTACTTTTGTTCATATAAAGCAGCATTTTATGTCCATTTTAAGTATTTTGTTCTTATAAAGCCTGCGATGGACTGGGGATGTCCAGGGTGACCACTGGGATAGGCTCCAGTTCCCCCCGCGACCCCATCAGGGAATAAGCGGTATTGATAATGGATGGATGTCTCTCCTGGTGTGTTTCAGGCTGAATGTTTCTGGAGAAGTTCAGGTGATGGATATGCTGAACGGTGCGCCCGGTTCCCGAGGAGAACTGTTCTGCGCGGTCCAGATTCCCTTCAACCTCACGGTGGACAGCCCCGAGGGCCGGATGCTGAAGAGAAGCGTTCGGTCGGCCCTGATCGCTCCCTCAAGTTCCAGTCATCTAAACTCATCCAAGGTCTACGAGGCCAGCGTTCTGCACCACGAAACCAGCAAAAACCAAATCTATTTGCTGCTGTCTAAACAGTGCAGCTCAGATCTGGCTCTCAAAAGTGGTGAATCATATCAAATGGAGGTGCAGTTCCAGATGGACCGCCTCTCGTTCTGCACCATGCACAAAGCCGTAGACCTCCTTCCCGACACGTCCAGAGTGGTACCGGACCTTTCAAACTGCGCGGTTCCGTTCAGTAAGGTTTCCTGTGAGCTCAACTCGAAGCAGAAGTCGGCAGTTGACTTTATCCTGGGGACCTGTGATGGGAAGAAGCCGGTGGTGGCTCCTCTCCTCATCTACGGACCCTTTGGAACGGGGAAGACTTTGACCCTGGCTACAGCAGCCAGAGAGCTTTGTAAGCACCCCCACAACAAGGTGCTGATTTGCACCTACACCAACAGGTAAAAATTCAAATGACTTGATTTGTCCTGATTTGTTTTCCCATGCAGCAACGTGCCAGTTCCCGTGCGGTAACAAACATACAGTGGGGGAAATAAGTATTTGACCCCTTGCTGATTTTGCAAGTTTGCCCACTTACAAATAACGCAACGATCTATAACTTTAATCATATGTACATTCTAACAGTGAAAGACAGAATCCCAAAGAAAATTCCAGAAAATCACATCATATGAATTTATACTAATTGATAACCATCTGATGAGGTAAAATAAGCATTCTTTGTAAGTGGGCAAAGGGTCAAATCCTTATTTCCCCCACTGTAGTTATATCATAATGTGATGTCATTCCCAAAATCCACTACTTGCCATGCTTATTTTACCTCATCAGATGGTTATCAATTTGTATAAATTCATATGATGTGATTTTCTGGAATTTTCTTTAGGATTCTGTCTTTCACTGTTAGAATGTACATATGATTAAAGTTATAGATCGTTGCATTCTTTGTAAGTGGGCAAACCTGCAAAATCAGCAAGGGGTCAAATACTTATTTCCCCCACTGTACTTAACCAAATGAGTATTAACGTGTCCATACAATCACACCAGCAGTCATCTTGGAATCCCTAGTTGAC